CTAAGTGACTCAGCAGGAAGCCAGGGTGCTTACTTTGTATACATCCTGAGCCTGTGGAAGAGGAGGGCATGGAGATTATGTGAGAGCTACATGCCCCTTAGGTGGGGGTAGCCTGTTTACAAAGTAAAGCAGGAAAAAGAAGCTGCTTGCCGCCATTCCTCCCTTTTGCTCTGGCTGTTTGCTGTTCGGCTGCCATTCCCCTCTTTGCTCTTGTTGCTTTGCTACCTTCTGCCTCAGAGCCAGCCAAGTATGGACTGAAACCTCCACAAACTGTGAGCTCAATAAACCTTTCCTTCCTTCATTTTGGGCGTTGGGTATTTTGTCTCACAGAGAAAAGTAACCAAGACAAGCTCTTTAACAACAGGCTGTGTTTTTACATAGATTCTAATTATATTTTTCGTTAGTTGACAAAATTTTATCAGATATAATTAAAGTTTACTTAAAAATACAATTCCCTTCCTCAAATTACATTTTTTCTCCTAGATTTAATTTTATAAATCTGATTTCATTAAAGTTCACTTTTATATGTCAGTGAAGGCTCTATGATTGTTTTGGGATTTTTTTATCAATGAAGGTTTTAATAAACAAAATGGCTTTCCCATAAATATGAGATTTCGCTATGAAAACATTGTAAAACCAATCTGGCATTTATTTTTTAACTAAGTTCATTGTTCAGTCAATATTTCATCATCACCTGCTGTGGCAAGCAGCCTTGATGGGATAGAAATACAAAACTTTCATTGTATAGTAAAAAAGTCTACATAAAGGAAAAAAGCTTATGCAAAAACTTCTCCAGTATAGCTAAACTGATTTATTTACAGTGATAACTTGCATACCCGTGTTTACAGCAGCATAACTCACAGAAGCTGAATCTTGGAAGTGCCCTATCTGTCCATCAACAGATGAAAAGATAAAGAAAAGGGGATGTTGGCACACAAGGGAGTACTACTTTGCCATAAAGAAGGAAAAACTAGAGTCATCTTTTGGAAAATGGATGCACCTGGAGACTACAGTGTTAACTGAAATAAATCAGAGACACAAGCTTACATATTGGATAGTATCTCTTCCATGAGCAACCTGAGTTATAAATAAAGAGCAAAGTAAACGATAAATAGCAGGAAGTAGGGAGATAGATCCCTCTCTGTGGGAAAGGGGACCAAGAGACAGATGGAAGGGGAGGAGCGGGAGGGAGAGAAGATGAGAAAAGAAAGGAAGTAGGACGTGCTCTGCACATGGACCAAATGGACCAACTCCACACAAGGACACAAGCACTGTGTGCTGCAACAGAGACTGACAGAGAAAGGTTCTATTCACATAACTTACATAAAACTTCCCCAAAGTGCTTCCGATGCTTCAGGGGAAGCTCACCTTCTAAGGCTGAACGTCACTTACCTTCCGATAAATCATGTGGCACATGGCTACCCTTAACCTCATCCCGGTGCACTGAACGTGATAAAAGTACAAATGGTGCGATATGGCCAGAAAGAGCGTGCAGATGGCCAGCACCGTGGCGTAGCCGTAAGCTTCGTACGAACTCATGGAATCTGCGGAACCGTAATTTTCAAAGTAATTGATAACTTTCCCCAAAAATAAGGGCTGAATGACTTTGATGGTTTCCTAAAAGAAGAAGAAAGAAACACTCATTAGAAATACAAACCACACCACTGTTCTCAACACAAGCTGTCCTTTTCTTAGCACATTAAAAAGGCATTTTTGATGAAGTATGACCCTCACCACTAAATCTAAAAGAAACACAGAATTGTTTTCCACTTTAAAACAGATGGGAGTTTTAACCTAAAGTCAAAATTATAAGCTTGAGGACAATAAAGTTTTAGTATACTGTGCCTGGTACACTGTGGATGCTCAATAAATATTACAGCCAGGCCTTTAAAACCCATTTGGCAAACTACCAAATAAATCTTGGCCTAAGATGACTAAGGAAAAAAAAGCAACCTAAAAGGAAAACAGTAATATCTGCTTAATCTGGACCATCTCAGCCCACAGAACTTGGCCACCTTTTCCCAATTGCTGAGCCCCTATCAGCTGAGACACGGGACCCACGCAGATCAGAAAAGAGAAGCGTCCAATCTCTCCCAACCTGAACACATGGTAGAGCCAGGAGAAGAGGCTCCAGGTTTACAAAGTTCCCAAGCTCTGGGCCCTAGGGCTGCAGCGTCAGTAAGTCTCTGCTCCCTAGAAGCCAGGATGTGCCCACAGGACCCACCACCTTCATTCAGGCTCCCTGGAGTCAAAAAATCAAACACAGCACATGCTGAGCTGAGATACTGTCACAACAGTTTGCTACCAGCCTAACACCATAGGTGCTGGTTCTAAAGAAATATCAATAATCATCTATTCTCCACGGCAAAGCCGGGAGGCAGTGGACTTTCCTTCCGGACAAGACAGAGGGAAAACAAGTTCTCGTCCCCACGGTTAACAGCAGAGCAACAGCAAAACAGTGCTTGCGCCTGGTACCCAAGCGGCAAGACTCCTCCTACTTGTTCCTAGGCCTCTCCCTGCCAGACAGCCACTCCACCCCATCGCCGCCTTCCTCTCTCCAAACCCTCACAAGGGACCTAGCCATCAAAGAAAATCAAACACTCACCGCAAACTCCAGTCACCAAAAGTAAACACACAGGCCCTCCACATCACTTCCTCCTGACTTCACAGAAGACATAACGCCAAAAGCTTATAAATCTCTCAAGAATTGGACTTGGAAACAAGCAACTTGTCCTTATTAACATACACATGGCAAATAACCAACAGGCTTGCTATTGACAGCTGTTTTCTATCTATGTGAAGTAAAGGAGCCGCAGATAAGAGGGAGGGAGGGAAAAGGGGGAGGGGGAGGGGAGGGGGAAGAGGGAAGTAAGGAAAAAAACAAAAGGAAGCAAAGCTAACATGCAAATTCTTCCCAAGCAACTAGTGCTCAGGTGGATATTTACAGACGATGTTCCAGTCTCTGACATGGGCCATGACATTGGCTCTCACGCTGCTGATCTGCTGAATACTCACATGTACATATATGCAGACTTACCTATGTCACAGGCTTCCACGAGGACATGGAAGTTTTTATCTACTGTACAGTGGTAAGAAAACACTGCTCAGTAGAAGAGTAACAGGTAAGAGGATCAGATACCAGAATGCGGAGGCTGCTGTCCATTTCCTGCATGTTCAGTCATTCATCGCAAGAGACACCAGGAGATTAGGAAGAGCCCCTAACACAGAGGGTCGCTTGGACAGTTTCAGGGCATGCTGATGAGAAACTCTAGGGTCCCCAAAGAGGCAAGAGGCTGAGAGTACACACAGCCAGTGCCAGCTCACTGGCCCTGGAAGCCTAGTCAGCCACGTGCAACCTGGGAATGGAGATGGACACCCACCCGAAGCCCTGCCGCTCCAACCTTCCCAAAACAGTCCCCGGAAGGTGAGGGTCATCACTGCCAGTGGCACAGTTCTCCTGACATGGGTTTAATTCAGACAGAGAAACTGAGGACATAATGACAAACATTACAAAGTAACAGAGAAAGCAGGTACCAAAGGAAGGCAGATCACTATTCCCTAACTGTCTGCATTTTCCTGCTGAGAGGTAGCATTGAACAAGAAATGCAATCAAGAAAGCAAGTTGTTAATGAGTAATGAGTCTGTGGCCATACTTACCCTCCCTCACACACACCTGTGCATGTCTGATGCTAACCCTCAACTAATAAATACAACTGGTACAATATTCATTATCAAACTTGTAACTGACCGAAGTCAAACTCCCTGGATTGTCAGAGAAAAGATTAAAAGTCTCACAAATCTTAGACACCAATCTGTATCCTATGGAAAAATCTTTCTACAAACCAAGAATATAGTTATCTTTCTACAAATCAACCAAGAATAGAGTTAATCCTTCCACAAGACTTCTTAATCGTGAAGCCACCTGGAAATTTATACTTCTCAATAGTGCATTTGGTGCTCAGCCCCTTAAAACCCGGCAGTTTGGTAGCTGGCCATGGTGCTGCACACCTGTAACCTTGGTATCCTGGGAGGCTGAGGCAAGAGAATTTCAAGTTCAAGCCTAGCCTGGGCAATTTAGCGACTTAGCAAGACCTAGTCTCAAACTGAAAAAATAAAAATAAAAAAAGCTGGAGATGTGGCTCAGTGTAAAAGCCCTGAGTTCAACCGGCAGTACAGGAAAAAATTAAACATCTGGGCCTGCATTCGGGCCCTGTCCTTTGAGTAACTAATTTAATATACGACTTGGAGGGACAAGGTTCCCAGTGGGCAGAGCGCCCTCCTGTTCCCCGGACTTGAGACCTTCCTTGCCCAATGTCACTGTGCCTGATCTGTGAGTGCAAAGAAAACAGAGACAAGCTAGCAAAGAAAAGCATGCCCGAGTGCAAAACACAAACAGAAGTGAATGAGCTCGTAGGGGAAATGAACAGGCAGTTAACTTTAGAAATGAAGGAACAGGGGACAAAAGGAGAGTGGAGAAAGATCTAGACAGAAGGATTACAAGGACTCTAGGGAATTCGGAAGATCCCAAAGACACCCTAAGTCCTCTGTGAATCAGGGTTTTCAGGTCTGACTGCATCTGAGAATCACCGGGGAGGTTTAAGAACTCACTGGTAAACGTAGATTTAGATTCCACTGATGGGCTGGGGACTGACAACCCCCACTCCTGCCCCAGCCAAAGATTCTGGTGTGTAAAAACCAACCCCAAAGAAGTATCAATGGTCTGTCCTGCCCCAGCCCTGTGTCTGCAACTGGAGAGGTTGGAGAACTGCTCTGCGGAACTTATGTGACCACAGCAGGTTTTAGCTGGGGCTGCTACCATAGCTCATGCACCCAAAAAACAAAAAACAAAACAAAGCAAAAAAACTACAGGAACCCAGAATCTTGAGCCTTCAACCACAAAACAGACCTACCATTCTACACGAAAGAGAAAATTCAACACTCAGGAAAGTCTGTATATAGAAAATGAAAGAATGAATAGTAATTTTTCTAGTAGTACTAGAGACTGAAGTGAGGGCCTCATGCATTCTATTCAAGGGCTCCACCACTGAGCTCTACTCCCAACTCTTTTATTTTATTTTGAGACAGGATCTCACGAAATCATCCAGGGTGGCCTAGAACTGGCAATCCCCCAGTTTCCGCCTCCAGAGTAGCTGGGATTACAGGCACACATCACTACACACAGTATGTTTGCTTTTAAAGTTAACTCTAAAAGGAGGGGTCAGGCTAAAGGGACAAGGTCAAGAGTCTCTAAAAATAACTCCTTTGGTCTACTTTAATTTGGAACCATGAAAATATTATACAGAATTATAAAGCTTAAATTTCTAAAAAGCAAATCTTAAAACTTGAGAGTGAAATAAAACAAATGTATACCCAGATATATACATATATACATGTATAAATATATACTCTAGTTGTTGATATAACCATACCCCAAAAAAGCTATTAAAAGTGGTTTTGAACACGTAATTTGAAGATATATACCCTGTGGGATATACCTCCCCTTTATGAACTACAAAAAAATCTTAAATTGCCTTCAAAAATTGTATTATGACTTACAGGATTGATACTATAAAACAAGTACAGTATCACTGAGAACTGGCATGAGGTATGCCAGACAACAGAATACATGATACGAGAGTAAAGAAAAATAGAATGATAAAAGGGTAAAGAAATTACATAAAAACACTAGTACTGTGAATATGACCTGGAAATACCCATAAAAACTCAGGGGTTCAAATGAGTTTATCTCTCAACTATATGCTTTTTAGTTTTGTCCCTTACTAATGCCAAGACACAACTCAGACTACGGTACTATAGTACCTAAGGACTATGTCCCACGGAAAGGGGTCGGCGTGGCTCGGAGAAATGGCTGTTTTCACAGTCGGGGTGAAACCCGCACAAGCTGAGCTGAAAGCATTGTGTCTCCGCAGAGAACGAGAAGCCAGCAAGGATGACGAGCACATGTGCAAAAGACCCTCGGCCCAGCCTGTGTGAGCTCGCACGGCCGCAGCAGGCCCGGCACAGCGTGCAAGCAACTGCAATGGATGAAGTAAAACATTTAACTCTATGAGCTCATAAAGATACTCATCAAAACAAACAATAACAAAAAACTCAGCCCCAGGGGAGAATGCTAGAGAGCCACTCATCTTGAAAACTATTTTTTTTTTTTTAAGAATGACAAAATTAAAAATTTCTTCTGACTTTCCTATACATACTGCACCTCAGGGTAACCAAAAAGTTAAGACTATCAAAGTTTCTTGGGCCGGGCGTATAGATCAGCGGCATAGCGCCTGCCTGGCAAGTGTGAGGTAATGAGCTCGAAGTACCAAAAAAAAGTTTCTCTTCATGAAAATATTTTAGCAAATAAATGCGAGGGAAGATAACCAGAGTATCACCACTGTGCTACCCTCTAGTGAATTAACAGATCATAAGCAGTGGGCACGAATGGCTCCTAACCTCACACCCACAAAGAGGACAACCACAGGTAGGTCCCTTGCAGTGGTGCTGCGCAGTGCAACCTATGAAGTGAATTTGCCAAAGGGCAGAGAAGCAAAATCAACCCCGAGTCTGATCAAGCATCCAGATCTAACTACCAGCTCCCGGTGCCAAATAAACAT